AATGTCTCTCGTAGCAATATGATGTAATGGTTAACGTGGCGAGATTACATGCTGCACTGTGATGGTTCGACTCCCGCAGAGAGTGTTCATAAGACCTAGGTGAGGTCATAACTGAAGTCTACCCTGGATGAGAACACCTTTTGGACAGAAAGGCTATGTGAAATTCGATGGAAACGTCAGCTCTACTCATATGATTCTGGGAAACTTCAACTACCAGTACATTATCACCCTAAACAAAATTGGGTAAACATAATTAATAAAGGAAAGATTCCAATTAAAATTGCGGCTTTACCCGAGGTTTTGATACCTATCAATGTAAACCATTACATTCCTGAACAATCCAAATGGAACTGTAAACATGGAGTTTGGTTGATTCTTAAAGTATACTTTTTTAAATATTCACATTCCCAATGCTTGCCCTTCACACTATTTAATAATGTATAATTGAACAATTTATGTATATCTTTCTAAATATGCTTCCTTATTATCTATTCGAATAGTAATGATTATTTCCAAAATTCTTTTTGCAGGATGGAATAATATACTTCGAAAAACGTGCTGTTTAACAAAATTAGGGTTTATTTCGTTAATAGCTTTTTTCCTGCTACTAATCATTTATTGATAATTCATGAACATGCTACTCGGTCAATGTAAATAAATCCCACTTCAGTCATCTACCCATGTGTTCTAATACTTCCACAACAACTTTATTCATTTGCATTCAGGGCACCAAAGGCGATACTCTGCAAGATCCCTTCCTTGGCCTGGGACCTGGAGTACCAGGAAGAAAAGGAGAAAAAGGTGAAATGGGTCCTATTGGATTGTCCGGTTTGCGTGGGGATCCTGGAGAGCCTGGACCATTTGGCCGGAGCGGTTTTGGGGTATGAAACAAAAGATTCTTTACCATTTTGTTTATGCGTAAGCTGTTACTGTGATCAAGGTTAATTTCTTTTTTGTTAGATTATAGTCTAAGCTAACAGAACATTTTTTAGGACTTGCATTATCATTGCAGTGCGGTGAAGTAATTTTTACTAAGTTGACTAACCATAAATATTATGCTCATAGAATGCATATCGAATGGAGGTAAGAATAGAGGAAGATGACTTTCGTCAGATTTATTGAAGAGAAGACTTAAGGTTGCCACTTTACATGCTCATATCTTTTATAAGGTGAACTTTTATTTAAGGCAGAATACAGTGGAATAAACAAGTCTGCTTAATCTATACTTATGCAGGCTATAATTGTAAATTGGGACGGACTTTTTATAATGCATACGTTTCTAGTTGACTTGATAAATGTCAATGCGATGCCCTTAACTACACCCTAATAGTCTTAATTTCTCTTCAAGGTACCGATATTATCATGGAAGTCGAGGCAATAGTTATGCCTAGAGAATTACTCCATTTTTACACACTATATAAGGTGGAAGTAATTGGCGAAATCAGGCTATATGAGTTCTGAAGGGTAAAAATAAAAGTATAAAATAAATTTATATATTGGCAATCTATTGATTCTACAATACTCCCTGATTTTCATATAAGCAGAATCTTTCACTATTATTTAATGAGGTCCACAACTACATAATTAAGCACTCAATGGATCCTGGAAATATTATTATCCGTATATGTCTTGGGATGTTGCATAATACTTAGCCGTGTTTTCATTAAACATATATTTAGACATAAATATATTATAGTTAAAAGCATTAAAATTTCGTTAGGTAAATTGTTATCAGTTCTTTCCCTTATAAATTCGTATAGAGTACACATATTATTTAGCCACACACGTTAAAATATCTCTGGGGATTTACTTCTGTGCTAAACATTGATTTAACTTTACTGATCTTCAGGGACAAAAAGGAGAGAAAGGGGAACGCGGCCCAAAGGGTCTAAAAGGCAAGCCATGGCAATCAAGTACCGAGGGAGTAAGTTTTCGCCGAAAAATAATTATGCTTTAAGGTATATATGAAAACTCCTGCCTCATCAACTTCAAACTACTTTTTAGACTTTGCCAGGAGAAAAGGGAAGCAAGGGAGAAAAAGGAGCCTCCTATGATCAACTTAACATTTTGAAAGGATTTCCGTAAGAATTGCGTTTTTATCTATAATTTATGTTTACAATTAATTCTATAATACTATGTAGGAAAACGACACTAAGAAATATCCATAGATTTACGTTAATATTTTTAAATTCCGATAATTCTTGGAATAGAATATTTTTTTAAACCTCCATTAATATAATCCTGTTGTGTGCTTACAATTATCCTTGTAAACCACTTGGAACTTTATAGAGCTGGAAAGAAGGGAGTGAAGGGGGATCGAGGAATACAAGGCATGATCGGAGACAAGGGCATCATAGGACTTAAAGTAAGTTCTTTATCATACGAATTTGATTATTTGTTTACGCTATGCAAAATCTGTTAGTAAATTTTGTGTTCCATTATATCAGCTACCACAAACGCGTTTATATAAGAGATGAAGTCTGTATAAAACAGATAATTTATTCAGATTTTCGCAGCATCACTCGATACAGAAGCTCAACTTCGATTGAGTACTTGATAATAAATCATAATTACATTCTGGTATTCTTTAATAGTCAGGTTATTCCTATGCGCATGAGTAATAAATCAGCCAATACTTACAAGTATTAAATAATGCTTGGATTTAAATTGCTGAAGGAACGGAAGATTATATAATAGTAGAGACCATTCAATGCAACAAAAATATTACAGATGAATAGAAGCTAGGTTTAAAAGAATCCCTTAGTAGATTACTAATGTCATACGTTTCGTTTCGTTTGATAAGTATGCCAATATAAAAAATATTACATCCTTGTTGTTATTACTTAATAAAAAAACAACTTTTAAACCATAAATACTTTCTTTTTACATTTTTTTAACCCTGTCTATTAGGGACGGTCTGGTTTTCCGGGAGTGAAAGGATTGATGGGTGAGCCTGGCGAACCTGGATCTGTGGTAAGAAAGTGTGATACATTGAATCTAGAAAAAAAATCATGGACTAATTAAAATACTATGAAGAACTTATAATGCCTCGTGTTATGGTATGTGAATTATAAGCAGTGAGCTCAATTTGCGTAAGAAAAGCCTAAATTCGTATTAATGAAATGTTTCACTCAATAGTCAAAACTCTTCCTTTGTGATAAGATTCAGAGCGATAACTTCTATAGTTCAGACATTTGTAATAGCTTGTATGACAAATTCATATGTGTGATGAGCCACACGAAAAGATCTAAAATGATCAAACCGCACTTTAAAAAGGTTTAATTTATAATAGTAAACATAAGAATAATACCTGAAAATGAATAAAGGGCCTCGATGCATAAAACCTAGGAAAAGTAAAAAAATCACCGAAAGAAGAGGTTCCACCACAGCTTGAGTGTTTGGGGTGGAGTATATTTCAGCATATTGAGGGTGAATTTAGATTTTCATCAGTAGACCTCCTTCTTCAAATAGCCAAAATGGCCATTAAATCTACGCTAGACAGCTGGTCTGAAAAAAGTTCTTATATTCTCTCGGCCCTAGCTATTGCCTTACTTATTGAAGAATGGTGGTTATGAGTGGGGATTCTCCGTTTATCAATTAATCATTATTTTGTCCATAAAAATTAGATAAAAAAGAGTTTAAGTCTATCCAAGGGATCTACGTTAGTCTATGCATATTACTTGGAGTTTTAGTTGCTGAAATCAGTGGAATCCTGAAAGCAAATGCTCTTTATCGTTAAGAAAATTAGTATCCTTTCGAATACCTTCAATAATCTAATTATTAGGTTTTCACTGTCATTCTAAATTAGCTCAAGCTATTTAGTTATTCGAAATAATTTATTGTTATTGCCCATTTTCTCTTGAATGATGACAGGGGAAAAAAGGCAAGGAAGGTCCCGTCGGAAATGTCGGCCAGCCCGGGGCACCAGGAAGTGACGGATTGCCAGGACCAATCGGTGATCCAGGGCCAATAGGTCCTCGAGGTGAAAGAGGAACTCCGGCACAGCCAGGACCCAAGGGTCAAAAGGTAAATGGATTAAATTTTATTATTTCCTAAATTTTTCTTATCTTATTTTACATACTAAAGACTCGCTTCTGTATCCTCTATTAAGTGCTATGAATTTTACAAATTTCTATTCTGAGAGCAAAAATCCGCCTAAATAATGCAAAATGCGAAGATATTATGCTAAAAAAATCTAGCTTTGGGTATACCAATTTACTTTTCTCTCAATCAGTTCAATTTTCGTACTGCAATTTCACGTCAAAATTCTGGTAACCTAGAAAAATGGCCTACATTTTATTCGTTTATTGTTTGATTGTTATTTATTTGAGTAACACAAAGCTAAACAAATGGAAATGAAAATATCAAATATATACCATTTGTTCTTCAAGTAAATAAT